GCTGTTTGAACATCTCATTACAGAAAAGGAAGGAAAACTCTGAAAAGATGAAAGTTAAAAATTACAGTTTCTTAGGTGAGATTTGTTACAAATAACTTTAAGCAGCTTTTTATGGAAACATAATAGACGTGTGCAAATAATAAGTGTAAATAATAAGCATACAGCGCAGTATATTTTCCCCAAGCGAAGACAGCCATGTAATCAGCCCCTAGAGATAAAAGCTTGGCAGAAGCCCTTCCTCACCCCTGCGTGGTCACTCTCCACCCCCGTGCTGGGTGAGCAGCCTCCTGACCTGTGACATCATAGTCACGAGTTGCTGCACTTGAATTTCCTGTAAGTGGAATCATGCAGAGCAGACTAGCACGTTGGGCTGCTTCTGCTCACCCTGTGAGGTCCATTCCTGTTGAGCGACGCAGTAGACTGTGCACTCTCGTTGAAGCTCAGAGTTCCGCTGTGGGAATATACCGCAGTCTGCCTCTTCTGCTCTCGGTGGGTACTTGAGTTCTGGTTTGGACCGTTACCAAGAGGCGACTGCTCTGACCATTCCATCTTGTGTCTTTTAGTGAATGGTCATATGAGAGGCATTTTTGGCTCATTGGGAAAGTGTGTGTTCTAGGTTGGCAGATACTGCCTAACAGTTCTCCAGAGTGGTTGCACCAGTTAATTATTCCCACCCAGTTAGCGTATGACAGATCCAGTTGCTTCATGTGCTTGCCAAAGTTTGGTGTTCATTGAAAGCCATCCTGATGGGTGAATCGTTGTCCCTCATTGTGGTTTTAATTTCTGTTTTCCTGGTAGCTAATGAGGTTTAGTGTCTTTTCATTTTACACGTGTGTTGGTCACATAGAGGTCCCCTGTCATGAAGTTTCTGCTCCAAACCCTCCCCTGTTTTTCTTTTGGGTTGTCTCTCTTTTCTGCCTGATTTGTGGCAGTTCTTGCTTGACTAAATGTATTTCAGATTTTTAGTGATTTTATTCAATGAACTTTTTATCAGTTTTTTCCTAAAATTTTAGTAAAATAAAGTTTTCTAAAATTGAGCAGATATTTAATTTTTCCAGTAACAGAAAAGTGAAGCTATTATCATCTTGAAAAAAAAATTGCTAAGTCCGGCAGAGAAAGACAAATACTGTATGATCTCACTTACTTGTGGAATCTTTAAAACAAAACAAAACAAACCCCAAAACCAAGTTCAGAGATACAGAGAACAGACTGGCGGTTGACAGACATGGGAGGTGGGCAAAATGGGTGAAGGGAGTCAAAAGGTACAAACCTCTAGTTGTAAGATAAACGAGTCATGGGGATGTGATTTGCAGTGTAGTTGGTAATACTGTCTTGCATATTTGAAAGTTGCTAAGAGAGTAGATCTTAAAAGTCCTCCTCACAAGAAATAAATGTTGTAGCTATGTGTGATGACAGACGGCAATTAGGCTTATGATGATGACCATCTTGCAATACATACAAATATTGAAGAATCATGTTGTACACCTGAAACTAATATAATGTGCCTTGTCAACTGTACTTCAGTTTATTTGTTTATTTAATTTAAAAAAATCTACCGACACCTGAAAATTAACTGTTGGGTTTTTTGTTTGTTTGTTTGTTCGTTTCCTTGTTTTTTTGCAGGGGGAGAGGTAATTAGGTTTATTTATTTTTTCAGTGGAGGTGCTGGGGATTGAACCCAGGACCTCGTGCTTAGTAAGCACGCAGTCTACCACTTGAGCTATATCCTCCCCTCAGTACTTCAATTTATAAAAACAACAACAAATCCCATCAAACTCCCCTTTCAAGAGGGGGGATTGCTTTAGTTTTCTTCCCCTCCCTTTCAGTTTCTCGATTTTTGAACCTCTGGTCTGAAATCCCACTTTCCGCATCTCTTCAGGACCTAACTCTTTAACCTGCCTCTTTTTGTTAAATGTGGTCAGTTCAGCCATATCCAGGGCCCCTTCTCTGTCTTTAGATTTCCTGGTTTCTCCTTAACTCTTTTTTTTTTAACTGAAGTACAGTTGATTACAATGTGCAGTTTCTGGTGTCCAGCACAATGCCCCAGTCTTTCCTTACCTCTTGATAGCACTAGCTTTCCAGTCTTTGCAGGTTTCTTCTCACTTGACATTCTGATGACACTGAACCCCACCCTGGTCGCCCCTTCTCTTCCTCCTCCTTTGCTTGGCTTAGTTGCCAGTGGCATCTCCCCTGTACGTCTTTCGAGCTCTTTTCCCCTAAATGTCCTCTCTTAGCCTCTGCAGTAGTCCGGCATCCTTGGCTACGTGCTGCAGGTCATGCAGCTAGCCTTTGTCTCTGAGACCTGCCCCCTTCCCAGCTGCCTGCGAGAAGACCAGCCTCTTGAATATCGCTTTCTCCATCACTTCCATCATCTTCTTCCACCTCAAACTCTCTTTGCCTCTGCTCTCCTGTCTGTCAGCAGAAGTGCCCATACCCCAGCTAACCCAGACATGAAACCTTGCTCATCTTTGCCTTCTTCCTCCTGACCCTCAGCCAGTCGGAGGCTAAATCCCCTCCATTCTACTCCTTCCATAGTGCTCTCATGTAATAGTAACACAGACAGCAACAGTGGTGATGGCCCCAGCAGTTGAGTGCCTCTGTTGGCCAGCCACTGGGGTAAACAAATGCTTTCTGTATGTCACCTCACTGAATCTCACAGTGGCCTTCGGAGAAAGTGCTGTTCACTTCATCTTGCAGACGAGGAAACTGAGGCCCACAGAGGTTAGGTAACTTGCCTAAGTCCACTCAGCTGTCAGGTGGAAGCAGTGATTCCACCATCTGACCGTAGACCATACTTCTTTGCTCTATTTCCTTATTTGTAGTCCTACCCCTGCCGTGCCCCCCGCCCCTTCCTGCCTCGTGACTTCTTGCCCAGATCGTGTTTCCTTCTTAATTTGCTCTTTTCCCCATCCTAATTCATCCTCCAGAAATGTCAGGTTTATCTTCCCAAATTTAACTCTGCTTGTATTTCTTCTTTACTTTACTTCCAGTGACTAACTCAGAAGTCACTAGTAAAGCCAAGTTCTTCCAAGTGATCTTTACAGACCAAAGTTTGGCCGCCGACCACCATTCTGTAAGCTTGAGGTGCTGTCTCTGGATAGACTGTGTGTTTGCTTCTACTGCTGGCTGAGTCTGGGGTGTACCCCTCACCCCTTCAATTCTGCCCTTCCTGGAAATCTTCCCTGTTTTCTTTAAGCGCCAACTCAAATGCTCTCCCTTATGTGAAACCTCCCTGAGCTTCCCCGCCAGCATGCATGAGGTCCTGGATTCAATCCCCAGCACCTCCGTTTAAAAAGAAAAAAAAAAAACAATTATGCTAGAGTTTTCAGGGGCATCAACAAAGTGCCTTATGAGAAAGAGGTGCTCAGTTTACCATAGCAGGAAGGAAGGAGGCTCACAGAGAGCTGGCAGGGACTGACCTGAGGACCTCGTGCACGCTAAGCAAGCTCTCTACCACTGAGCTATACCCACCCCGCCTCTTGCATAATTCTCAATAATCATTTTATTGATTTGCTCCATGATTTCCTATCAGGAACACAATAGAGGGAATTTGGGCACATTGTTAATGAGAACCATGGGTGATGATACTTCTAAGGTCTAAGAGATAAAGAGAGTATGTTTGATTCCTAGGGCTGCTATAACAGAGTACCACAAACTGAATGGTTTAAAATAACAGAAATATACTCTCTCACCGTTCAAGAGGTAAGGCCCAAATTCAAAGTGTCAGCAGGGCCGTGCTCCCTCTGAAGGCTCTAGGGATGGACCCTTCCTCGCCTCCTCCACCTCCCGGTATTTCCTGGCAGTCCTTGGCTTGTACACGCATCAGTCCATTCTGTCTCCATGGTCACATGATCGTCTCCCCTGTATCTGTCTTCACATGGCCATCTTCCCTCTGTGTCTTTGTTTTCTTGTAAGGGTACCAGTCATGTTGGATTAAAGGACCAGCCTGCTCCACTGTGGTCTCACCTTAACTTGTGACATCTGCAGTGACCTTATATCACATGACCGCTGTGTTAAACACATCCTTTTATTCTGATGTTTGGATATCCAAGGCCTTAATGACCCTGGGGAGACTGCCCTTTCCAGGGCTAACCAACTCCTAGAGATTAGGAAACCTGAGTGCACTTCCCATATGCAGACTAACCCATCCAGAGCCCACTTTCCCTCCCCTGACCCCATCCTTCCCGTTCTTACCCTCCAGACTAATGTTCTGTTGCTTTAACCACCTCAGGGCCGGGTACTGGATAATCAGGGACCCTCTCTACACCCAGCAGTCCTAAGCCAGCTGAAAAAACTCGCACCACCAGTGCTAAGCCTGCCTGCCCTGCCTTGCCCGCTCCTTCCCGTGGGTGCTGCAGCTAAGCCTCTTGCCCGAGTTCTCTCCTTGCCTGTTGCCCCCTGACCCCTCCCGGTGCTTCCCTGTGGCCCTGCCTGGCAAGCCTGCTGTTTCTGGGGGCGCGTGAGGATACACTTCCTCCTTCATCACAGTCGTTTCTGTGTCTGCCTGTCCTACCATACCTGATGGCAGCAGGTCCCCGGTACATTTTAAAACACTCACATTCTGAGATACGAGGCGGTTATTGTTTTGGGTGATAAAATTTAACCCCTAAGTGGGAGGAACTTCTTTGCTAACCTTTTATTGGCATCCCCTGATGGGGCAGGACCCGGCAACTAGACTCCTCCAGTGAGTGAGGAGCAGGCTGGAAGGGCAACGAGCCAGAGGGAGAGGCTCTGCCCCAGATCTGTTCTTAAACGTCAGCTGAGGAAAGGCAGTGACTGCAGCTGCGCCGAAATGACCTCATAGGGGAGGCATAGAAGATTAATAATAGGGACAAAGATGGATTTTGTTTTTTTTTCTGAAAGGTGGCAAGATAGGTGTAAATTCTCTGTTTGAAGATTTAACAGATGACCTGTTGTAATTGTTTGTTTTTCGGGATATATTTGATTCTGAGTTCTCTGCTAACTATTTTTTTCCTTTTTCTTTTTTTTTCCCCCTAAAGAAAGCGGCAGCCCAGAATCACGTGTTAACGCTATCCATTTCTTGGTACACAAACTGCCGGAGAAAAATAAAGAAATGCTGGATATTTTGGTGAAACACTTAACTAAGTAAGCCTCCCTTCCTTCCTTCCTTCGTTTTGCTCTGGGTGCTGTGCGGTGGTGTTGAATCTGGATTGCTTGGAAGTGGGGCTGCGTACACAGGACCAGGGACCACACCTGCAAGGGCAGGCTGGACACTTGACTCACTGTGTGTGTTTTGGACAGGAGTGGTGAAATGCGATGCTTTCACAAAGTCATATAATTATTTGCTTAACATCGCTGCCAACAACTCAGGGTTTGAGTTGAAGTAAGAAAAGAGAACATTATACGTTTCCCTGTGCACAGATTCTGGAAATGCGATTATAAGTCTGTTAGCAAATTTAGCTTGGTTTCACACCTTCCCAACTCTAAGTCTGAACATGTCCTTTCAGTGAGTTTAATCCGGTAATAGGTAGTTATTTTGTAGGATCCATTCTGTTCCTTTCATTACTCCTTTAAAAAGCAAGCAAAATCGAATGGCCTGTAATGAAAAAGAACAAGGAAAGGAATATGTTTGTGTGCATATATATAAATAAATGAATCACTATACTGCACACCAGAAATTAACACGTTGTAAATCAACTATATTTCAATGAAAAAGCAAGCAAAATCTGATTAATTCAGTGGAGAAATTAGCTCTTTCTTCAAATATAAGTGACTCCTAGATCACAATAACTGTAGAATTTTAGAGGTGAGAGGAAGCTGAGGAACGCTGTGTTTTAGAACCTTTATTTCATGTGAAAAAGAAACAGAAAGCCAGACGATATTATGGCCTCCCAAGGGTCCTACTATCAGTATCACCATTCATTCATTTGGTCAGCAAATAGATGTTGAATGCCTCCTTAAGGTACTAGCTGATACAAGGGCACATAGCTGAACAAGATAGACAAAGTCCCTACTTTCATGAAGTCCCTTCTTTCTAAGAGGGAAAAGATCATAAACAGATGACAAATAAAAATAGAGAATGGTTTCAGGTGATTAAATGACAAAAAGATGAAGTAGAATGAGGGATAAAGAGTATATATTGAGTGTAGGACTACGAAGATGGTTATGGAAGGTCTCTTAGAGGATGCGACCTTTTGAGTTGAGACCTGAATTAGGTGTCAGGGCTGCTAAGAACAGTTGTCCAGGTTGTTCACTGCACAATGGTACTGGGCCCAAAGAGATGAGTGTGGGTGTTCTGACCAAACTCTGTGTGCTTGTGAGGGTAATTTTGACAAACGTACCATGTGGTCTCGTATTCCTTGGAAGCAAAGGGATAATGATCTGGGGAAAGAAAGGATGTTCGAAGTAAATTGGAAGAGTAAATGAAGTCCGTCAGGGACCCAAGCTTAGCATATACATGAGATTATTAAAAAAGACATATGGCTAAGCAGAACATCAAAGAAAGGGAAGTAGGAAGGTAGGCAGGGACCTCCTGACCTAGGGCTTTGTCAGATCCGGGTACTTGAGTGGCAGATACAGAGAACAGTGGTGTCTGACCCCTTGTTTTTAGGGGAATACAGAGTTGTAGAGTATTGTACTTTCCGTAGTTACTGCCCTTCTTTTAACCAAAGACCTTTCTTTTCCCCTCATCAATACTAGTGTTTCCAATCACTCCAAGCACAACCTCATGACCGTGGCAAATTTAGGAGTGGTGTTTGGACCAACTCTGATGAGGCCACAGGAAGAAACTGTTGCAGCCATCATGGATTTGAAATTTCAGAATATTGTCGTGGAAATTTTAATTGAAAACCATGAAAAGGTAAAACTTCTTTTTGTAGTTGTTTTTTCCTTAAGGAAATTCCTGGTCTGGGCTCGTCTCCATGAGAGTTAGAGCTAAGTTCTTAGATTTTCCTTCTCTCTCTCTATTTAATTTTATTATCATGGTGGTGAGTGGTGACCTTCTGTCTTCTGATAAGAGTTTTTCCAGAAATCTGAAGCTTACCTGGTCGTCTGTTATCTCACTGATTTAAGGAGGAAATGTTTAATCCAGATGCAAATGAATATCAGCAATGTTATTGTGGACTGTTGATGGTTTTTGCTGGCTTTGTTCCTATCCTTGGATTTCTCCCTCAAATTCTATTTTCTGTAACACATGGAAGATATTTCTGTCAATCTGTGTCTTATTCTCCCCAGAAAAACACACACAGCTCTCCCTCTCCGTACAGTTGTGTTAACGTCCTTGACTCTGGGGACTCTAGTTTAAGAATCTCTGGTTTAAAATGAATAATCTCTTAGGTAATGTATCTTGTTGTGTGTTTCTCTGTATTCAAGGGAATACACGATTTTTCAAAATACAGTAGACTCAAGACCTTTCACCCCCCCCCCCCATTCTGTTCATGTAGATCAGGACCTTTCTAATAACTTTCCTCCATTCTCCTTCTGAGACAGGGAATTTGAAAACAGTTAAAATGCATGGACAACAGCTTGTTTATTATTATTTTGTTACATTGAGATTGCATTATATGCCAAGCAGGCATGAGGTGCTGGGATATGAGGAAGAACATCACAGCCCCTGATGGTAAACAGGTTGCCGTCTGGGGGCTGGAGCCCTGTTCTGGGACTTGTATCCCGTGCACACATGCTGGTCTAACGCCCTGTGTAATTTGCTTATTTTCCTAGTTGTTATGGAGTTCTCTCTCCTAGATCTTTGAGGGCAGAGATCTTTTTGAACATTTAGAATAATACCTGGTACATGTTAGGTGCTCAGTTAGTATTTATTTGATGAATGAATGGATTCAGTGAAATTGAACGGGGTCGGAGGAGTGGGAAAGAGGCAGACAAAGGCAGGTGCAGTCCCTTTCTTTACTGATGTATAGTCAGGTTACAAGGCTGTGTTAATTTCTGATATACAGCTTAGTGGCTCAGTTATATGTCTGTATATATGTCCCTTTTTGTATTTTTTTTCATCATAGGCTATTACAAGGTAATGGATATACAATAGATCCCCATTGTTTATCCCTTTTGTATATAGTGGTTGATGTCTGCAAATCTCGAACTCCCAATTTATCCCTCCGCCCCCCTGCCCCCCTTTCCCCCTGGTAACCTCAAGTTTGCTTTATGTGTCTGTGAGTTTCTGGGAGGTGGAGGCCGTTTGAGCAAAGCAATGCAAGGACATTTCTTGGATTCTTGCTGTGTTGGCTGTTTACTAGAGCCGTTCTAAGCTTGTGCGAACATCGATTCCCACTGAAAAGTTAAGCTTGGAACCTGGCCAGAGATTTTCTTTACCAGTATGGTAAAAAGCAGCTGGGGTATGGGTGTCAGACGTTTGTGGGTTTTTTGGCTTCTGTTTTTGTTTTTTGGCAGCTCGTGGTGAATTTCTGCCTCCTTTTGGGGTCCTGTCAAACTGTCATTCAGCGTCATTAACGTGTTTGCTGAGCTGTCCAGACAGCTTCATGCAACGGTGGCTACTATACTTAGACTATTACCTTGAGACAATATTTAGGAGTGCAGTGCTCATTAGACTAAATCCCAAGTGGAGAACTTTTACCCAATTTATTTGCGAAACTCCTGGCTCTGGGTCTTGCTCTCAGGTAAAAGACTTTCCATCTCAGGCTGAAGCTTCCTGTTTTCTTCTCTTATTTGAAGCTGAGGAGATAAGTACGTGGTTTTTCCTGCTGGGCGGTAGAGAAGGCGGCTCTCACCTTGTTACCAAATCCTACAGGAACCTCCAAGTGGCATTGGCGAGCCAGTTACAATGGTTACACGGCACATGACACTGGACCCACTCTCTGAGATGGAGCTGAGCAGCCTCTCAGTTCCCCTCTTTCTTTCTGCGGCCAGGCTGGCTAGCGCTATGGGTGCACAACGGGTGTTAGGTGAAGTGCTGTGGTTTCCCACCAAGAGGAGGTGGGATACTGAGTTTCAGGTACTTCGCTGAGCACGTGGGCTTAGGTTTGGAATCAGAGGGCTGCTTGGGGTGGAGGTGGACGGAGTAGCTGTTAGCTTAGGCTAGTGGACATTTTTGAGAACTTAATTTCCCCACAACCTCTTTTTTTCCCCTCCGATCTCATCCTTGGCCATTTTGACTCTCACTCCCAGCTCTGTTCCTGCTTAACCAGACTTCACCTCGGAGCCCAGGCTCTACCGTGTGGCAGAGAGTTTCTGCTGACAAGGGTGGTTGTGTGGAGACACTTCCCATGGATGCCTGGCCCCTCCCGTCCAAGCCAGAGGTTTCCTTGACGACCGATCCCCATGGACCACCCAAAGGAGCTTCCGTTTGCCTCAAACGTGGTGAGGCAGGGATACAGCTCCTCTTAATGTTTGAGAACGAAAAGCAAAAGGACAGGGAGGAAGGATAGGAAAGGTTAAAAAGAATAGTCTTGTGAGGAAGGGGAAATTTTAATTCAAAACAGGAGGGGGGTGGCCCGAGCAGTGAAATGAAGAGGCTCAGTAGAGTTTGTGAAGGAGAGCGGAGCAGGGGAAATGACAATAGAAGGAAAATGTTTTCTTTTCCTCAGTTACTTATTTTTCTTCCCCCGGAATGTGAAAAACGTGAAGTCTGACCAGGAAAGTCACTAAGTCAGAAGAAGGAAACTTTCAACATGTAATTAAAGCAAGAAAGTGCCAGATTAAATTTGGAGTTAGAAAAAGACCCCTGGTTAATCTGCTTTGGAGATCACATTTTGTCCAAGCCTCTGCTGTTTTCATACAATCCATACATACCTTATGGGAAACTTAATCCATATGTTTTGGCTTCATTTCCACTCAGTACATTAAGATGTTGTTTTAAAAGAAGTTTTCCATGGGCCAAAAATATTATCAAAGTCTTTCTTCCCTTGCAAACCAGAAAATTGCATTTCCCAGGTGGAAAGGGTACTGTGAAACTCCCAAGGATTTTCAAATTGGGGTTGAGCCATAAAATTTGTGTGTTTTGCATGAGTTTTGTTGTTATGATATACAGTGGTCCCTTGGTATCTGTGGGGGATTGGTTCCAGGACCCCCTGTGGATACTAAACTCCACAGATGCTGCAGTCCCTTATATAAAATGGCATAGTATTAGCATATACCCTGTTCACATCCTCCCCTCTCAGTTAAATCATCTCTAGATTACTTATAATGCCTAATACAATGTAAGTGGTATGTAAATAGCTGCCGGTGTGCGGCAAATTCAAGTTTTGCTCTTTGGAACTTTCTAGAACGTTTTTTGGTGGTGGTGGGGATATGTTCTTTCCACCGTTTGTTGCATCAGGACCCAGGGAGGGCCGGCTGTACCTGTTATGGATTCATTCCGTGCATTTGTGATGAGCTCCTGCTCTGAGTCAGACCTGGTGTGAGATGCGGGAGAGGCAGAGGCAGGCTGGTGGGGAAAAGGAGCGATGCTGGAGAGGAGGCGCTCTCAGATATGCAGAGAAGGCTGCCGAGACTTCAGGGGGGCGTTTACATCCAACTGTGGGGAGTCTGGAGAGTTTCCTGAGTAGGTGATTTGAGTCAGCTTTAGGATGGAGTTGTAGCAGGTGAAGGGGTTTTAAGGGGACATTTCAGGAGTCAGTGTCTTCAGAGAAGCAGAGTTGGCGAGCGTTCTGGAAAAGCTCCTGTTGGATCGAGGGTTGGGGGCAGGAGGTGAGATGGGAAAGAGCCTTGGGCAGCTGTGGGGAGGTGGAGAGCGCTACCAGGGGGCTTTGGATTTAATTTTAGAGGCACCAGGGCCTCGCACGGTTTTCAGGTGAACTGCTTACTCTGGCAGCACGGTTTGCAGTAGCAAATAGAGGAATCAAAGGCCAGGGGAGAGGTCCTGTGATGTGGGCGTGAGACTGGGGACGCAGAGGGGGAGAGCTTCGCTTGGTGAGAAGGAATAGACAAAACCCAGGCGTAGGATTTGTGGGGCATCGCAGAGGAAGGTGTTATAAATGGCGCTGAGTACTCAATCCCGGGAGTTTATCTTGGTGTTATTAATGAAAGGAAGGAAAGGGAATTAAGAAGAGTTTAGTCTACAACATGCAGAATTTTAGTTGTTGTCTGAATATCCAGCAAGAGAAGCCCAGCGGACAGCTGGAATTGTGGGGCTCAACCTGAGGAGAAAATTTAGTGGTAGAAAGTGTAATACATGGTATAAGGACATGATACAGGTGTGAGAAAGAATGTATTGGTTCATTTACTATTTATTAGGGTATTTATCTCATGTGACACATGTGTGTGTAATCCCCGTTGCATACATCTGTAATGGTATCCTTATATATGTACAGAATTTTTTTTACATGTCTTATCCCTTTATAAGTATGAGAAAACTGAAGGGTGATAGAGCACTTGCTCACGGGCACACAGCTGGTAAGTGGCAATACTTGGGTCTGTGGTAAGGATTGTTCAACTCCAAAGCTTTCACTTTTCATCACTAGGAGAGAGTAAGAACCGTATTTCTGAGAAGCACTGAGATTTTACTCTTAGTGATAAAAGAGGAGGCAGGAGGAGCCCAGACAAGTTCGGTGTCAGGTGGTCGAGGGGCGTTGCTGGTGGTGCCAGGTGCTGTCAGGAGATGGACAGATATGGGGCCCAGCAGACAGCGTGTGTTCTCCCCGAGAGTAAAACGTCTGTTGAGAGCAGCTTGCAAGGCCTTGAGTGTTTAGGAATGGATGATAAATAGTATGGATCTACTTCTGGCTTTTCCCGTTGGATGGAGGAATATGTGGGAGGAAGAGTCAGAGCAGATGTGACGGGGGAGGAAAGGATGGAGTGGGACCCCTGCACCAGAGTTGTAGACCGCTCACTCATTGTTCTCATATGCTGATCACCCCCATAATCTTAAATTTGTTTTCTATGTCTGTG